CTTGTTTTTTGGTGTTTCTTATTAGGAACTGATGTGTGGAACACCCTCTAAAGGCTAATTGCCTTTACCTTTCGGTCCTCAAATATTAACGCTTGGTGTCATTTTATTCCCTCTGTAGTGTGTATGCACCACCGAAAGCTTTCCTAGAAGCCCGTAAAGATGGTAAAATAACTTGCGAACCGACCATGAAAGGTAGTTCTATTTTTAGTGAATAACACTAACAATAATATGTGCAAAAGATTTATTGAGCACTTCACAAGAAATGACATCGTGAGCAGTTCTACCTTCTCCTGGATCCATCTTCGAAGAAAACTCCTCCATCGCGAGAGCAGTATGTCGGGCAGATACCTAAACAATTCGCCCACTAAAACATGATTAATCGGAAGGATTTCCAACCACCAACCTCTCTCTCCTTCGGGTCCTGAAGTTCCTGGCACTCCAGGCTGACCGGGTTGACCATCTGGACCCCGTAAGCCATCGCTTCCTGCCCCTCCACGTTGACCTGGTTGACCGGGCTGACCAGGTGGTCCTGGTGAACCTGGCGTTCCTGCTTCTCCAGGGGCACCCTGAAAAATCTCAGATAAGTATTTGCGTATGCTTTCGAGGCCCTACGCTCTCACCGGTGGTCCTTTTGGTCCTGGAGGGCCAGGAGTGGCGGCAACACTTCGTGCTGGTGTTCCAGGTTGACCGGGAGCTCCTGCTTCACCATTAGCTCCTGCTTCACCAGGAGCTCCATCGGGTCCCTTGGGTCCAGGTAGTCCTTTTGAACCCGGTTGTCCAGGTGGTCCGCTCTCTCCATTGATACCTTGAAGTAAAAACATGTATCTTGGAGTTTCCTTAAACAGAAAGTAATCAGCAAGTTATGACGTAAGCGGCCGGGTTTTTTCCGCTCCGGAGGCATTTGGTGCGTTCCGGCTACGCGACCGCGACGTCGACAACCGGTTCGCCGCGGAGCGGTCTTCATTCATCGCAACCACGCTCGAGTCATACCCCCACCTACGTACTATGCCTTTAGGGATTCATCGTGAAACAAGTGAAGGAATGCGGAAACGTGCAACTCATACAACATGCATAAAAGTAGAGCCATTGGTAGGGAGGTCGTTCGAAGTCTGAGCTTCCAACGAGTTGAACCCTCGAGTGACGACAGCGTGATGTTTCCGGGGGTCTGGAGAGCCTATGATGCTTTGCAGGAGAAGAAGAGCTGCCCATTTGTGCAGGTCCAATTTCGTTCGGATTTTTTCCAGACTAATTTGACCGCGGACCACTTTCAGTTGGGTCAATTTCTCGATTCAAGTTCCGAAAGGGGAATGAAGATACCTCCTCAGATGCCCCTTCTTGGAAACAAGGCTGTGGTTGAAGACCACAAAGTAAGTAAGCAGTGAAGTACAGCATCGTGAAATGTGAAATGGTGGTGTCAATAGACCTCCCCCTCCCCCTTCGAGGAATGGTCTCGGTACGGCTCCCCTTCCCCAGACCTACCTACCACTTCCCCACAAGTTCCCAACTTCCTACCAGTTTTTCCAAAATTTTACATTCCTGCCTTTTCACCCGAAACCGGTATCCGCCGAAAGGCCCAGCGGTAGTCATAGCCAATTTTAGAATGCGCACCAACCACCACCGGAATCTAAATAGTAACAATGCAACTGAATAATTTCTTTCCAACGCGGCATATTTCTCTCAAAAGCACAGAAGACCCTCTCCCAACAAGGACCAAATACGACCCCCCCCCATGTTTTAACGTAACAATGCTGTACCCTGCTTGAAGATCCTAGCTAACAAGTACACTTCAAGAACCTTGCTACTTCAGCGCTGCGAACTACTTTTACTGCTTCCGCATAGCGCTTTCAGCAACTTCGAATGATTGTTTACTCGTGCGGAAAGTGAAAGTGTCGCCGCGAATGCTTCCACTTGGGGATAAAACCGTGGGTAATCTGACGATCTTAGGTGATCGGCAACACTCAAGGATTCGGGGAGAGAGAATGTAGCCCGACAAGCTACTGTAATTTTTTTTCGGGGACATTAAAAGGACAAGAAATCCTTGTGTTTGTACGTGGTTGTAGGGGCTTAGGAATGCAGGCATTTGATTGATATCCTTAAGATTGTATCGGTTGTCTACCAAAAAGATGCATGACGATCACGACCACATTCCAAGAAACGCCCCAACGAGTGTCGAGTGTAGACAGCTTGGCGGCTAAAACGTGAGATTGGGACGCCATTGACGTTATGCGCATACTAGTTCTGGTTTCTTTTTCGAGCTACACTCACACGCACACACATAACACTCGAACTAGCTGCTATAGCTGCTGACATCGCTGGCTGTTGCCAGCGATTCCTCCCTCATTCAGAGCGCTAAGTCATCTTGAAGGCAAAGCCTGCGACCACGGAGCTCACATGCAAAAGAAAAAGTGTTAGGTAACTGATTAGTGGAGAAAAGCGGCAGGAAAAACAGTCCGGAATGCCCTAAATAGGACTCCATGCCCATGTCAACTTGTCACCTCATTCTCACCATTCGGAATGGAGAGAGATAGCATAGTGGCTACTAGCTAGTAGCTAGCAGCCAGTGGGGTCGGCATGGGCCTAAGGGTACCTATGGGCCTAATTGGCCAGCTTTCAGCGGAGTTTTTGCCATTTTCTACTGGCGCAGCCTCCTGAATCGCGTTCCGGATCGCCTGACACATTTGGGAGGTCATAGCCTTTTTTATCGCGGAAAGTGCCTTTAAGGGCGGCAACTCC